CTCAGTCCACCTGTCCCAGCACTCTGCAGAGCTCTTCACATTGAGCCTGCCACCTGCAGGGGGCAAACACGTTCTGCTGCTCCCTTCAGGCATATGTTGGAGCGCCCTCGTGAGAACAGCAGTGTCCTTCAAGTGTAACTGCATGGAGTGGTTTGCGATGCAAGGAGGCGCTTCGAGGCAATTGAGGGTGGGGCCCCCAAGAGACCACCCAACGTCCCCCAGGAGGCCATACGAAGCACCCGAACGGGATTCGCGATAACGGCCATTACTGGCCCCGCCCGCACCCCACCTCACCCTCCCAGCCTACCCCACGTAACTTCACGTTTCGCGCAGTGTCTGGCGGGGACCTCCTGGGAGCAACCAAAGGACAGCCAGGATTAGCATGCATGTAGGCAAGGCCCTGCTAGGGAAAGCTAGGCACAGCCTAGGGTTAGGTCGGGCATGTCCCCCTACAGGCGGCTTTTGGAAACATATAAAACAGATCTGAAACATATTCAAAACTAGCGAAATTAGACATTTTCTTCATAGAGAAGAATGGTCCCCTGATTATTCTTTGACTACTTTTGAAAATTCCTCCTGTAGAGGGACACGCCCGACTTAAGACTAGGGGGCTGCTGAGATCAGCCACGCGCAATTGACGTGTCGCCTGCACGAGTCACAGCATTCCCACGGAGGGACCTCCGAGGTACAGCAATGCCTGTGTACACCACAATGCCTGCGTGCACCAAACCGCCCGTGAACACCACAACGCATGCGTGCACCAGAGGGCCAGGGTGAACAACAACGCAGGAGCACCCCGTGATATCCATGTAAAACTTGTTGCCTCTGTACACCACCACGCCTGTGTGCACTACAGCGCCAGTGTACACCACAGCGCATGTTCACACCACAGAGCGCATGTGCAACAATGCCCGTGCACACCACAGTGCCTGTATGCTCCACAATGCCTGTCTACGCCACGTTATCTTTCTACACCAGAGCGCCTGTGTACACCATGCTGCTTATGTACACAATAATGACTGCACCACAGCGCTCGTGTGCACCATATCGGCTGCTTCAGCTCCACATGCGTGTGTACCACAGCGCAGGTACACTAACTATACCAGATGTGTACTGATTGCTCATGGTTCTGGCAAAAGGTACACTCCTTTCCCCGTGCGTCGTATTTTGGGCCCACCAGCCCGTGTACACCACAACGCCTATGCACCTCCACTCCTGCGCACACAAACATGGTTGTGTAAACCAGCGGTGCTGCAGCAACAGCGTTCGTGTGCACCACAGCGCCTGTGCACACCACAGAGAGTGTGTATACCACAGGGCATGTGTACACAATCATGCCTGTGTACACCACAGTGCTTGTGCACCATAGCTACTGCAGAGCAACTGCTTGCATCAAAACGCCTCACTGCCTCTGTACACCACAGTGCCTGCGCACACACTGCCAATGTAAACCTGCGGAAGCTTCCAGAAGCCTCCTGACGACGTCGTCGACGACGTTCGTGGTCGTCGTCGTCGTGGTCGTCGTCGTCGTCGCTCGTCGGTCGTCGGTCGCCGATTGTCGGTCGTCGGTCGGCGGACGTCGGACGGCCTCGTCGTGTTCCTCGTCGTCATCGCCGTCGTCATCTTCGTCGTCGGCCGTCGGCCGTCGGCCGTCGGGCGTCGGCCGTCGGGCGTCGGTCGTCGGTCGTCGGTCGTCTGTCGTCGTCGTCGCAAGCCACCTTGAAACCGCAATTTGCGTGGCCTTCACCCACCCGCACGCGAGCACAACTCCTGCCGATACTGGTCCCCTGCTCCCCTCCCTCCCTCTGGCAACGGCCGTCAGTATCGCCTGAGGCGAAAACTACGGGCTCCAGCCTGCGCGCCCACCACTTCTGAAGAATAGCAAAATACTCAGGCAAGGCAGGCTTGGCGGGGGCTCCGCATCAACCCCCCCCCCTCCCTATCCCCTTCGCTCCCTATTCGCCCTGAGCTTTTTGTTGACGGCCTCAGAGGCCTGGGGATGGCGCTGGGAACACGAAAACAGGGAAAGACGTCCACGACCCCTGGCCCCGAACATTAGGTCGGGCATGTCCCCCTACAGACGGATTGTGGATGAAAAATAAAAGATAGCCAAAGAATATCCAAAACTTATTCAAAAAAAGTCAAAACATCGTCCCCAGACTAGTTTTGGACTACTTTTAGATATTCCTCCTGTAGAGGGACACGCCCGATTTCTTCCCACTGAGGACGGAAGAACCATCCGTACTAGGACCACCCCGACAGGCGAAGCCCTCGAGCAAACGCACCCAGGCAGGAAATCGAACGAGCCAGGGTCGCCAGCAAACGCGCAGGACCCTTCGGAAACGTGCACTCATGATGATGGGAGACCAGAAACGCATAAACATACCTCTGACGGTCCGCGCGGATGTCTTGTATCTACGCTGAACCCCCCCTCCCTGGCGCGCGGAGCGTGCCTGGGGCGGCGTCAGAGGCGCTGCCAGGGTCCCAAGCGCAGAATCAGGAAATCCGCGCGGACCGTCGAAAGCGTTATGTATCCTGCCGTTGTGTGTTCTTCGAGATGGGACCAGGAAGGGGAGGAAGAAGAGGAAGCAAAGGAGGAGAAGGAGGAGAAGGTGAGGAGGAGGAAGAGGAGGAAGGGGAGCGGGAGGAGGAGGAAGAAGAGGAGGACTCAATATCATGGCGACGTCCCTCGCGCTCTTGCGGACGGGAGGGGGCGGGGTGGAGAGCACGTCTGGAGGTCCCCAGACCTCCGCAGATGCAGCACATCTCGGCCGCGGTGAAGTCGGCGTCGTCCCGCTCCGAGTAGGAGCCGCTGTACCAAACACCGGCCGCCTCTGCGCAGATCTGGTCGTCGCGGGCGATAGTTGCGGTCATGATCCTCTGGAGGAGGAATGGTGAGGATTCGGGTTGCGCACGGACTGCCCCCCAGGCAGTCCCACCGAGCTTCAGCAGGCCGGCCCCGCGAGTAAGGAACGTGGCCCTGGCTGGCCTCAACAGGCCCCCCGAATAGTCTGGGGCGGTCTCGACACCCCAACCCTGGGGAGCGGAGCGCCCCAGGGGCGCCGCCGGATGCGGCGCCAGCGTGGTCTCAACACCCAGGGGCGCCGCCGGATCGGGCGCCAGGGTGTTGAAACCGCCCTGGGCTGCTCGAAGGGCCTGGTGAGGTCAGCTGGGGCTGCTTACTCTGGAGGCCTGTTGAGGCCAGCTGGGACTGCCTGCCTGGTGGGCTGCCTGTGCGCAGCCCGGAGCCTTGCCAAGGAGGCGAGCACAGGGGCAAGCCTCGGAGTCCAAAAAATACGCCGACTTGGGCTGCACGTACGAACGACCCTGGGCAAAAAGTATTACCCCTGGCGCGCAGCTTCCCGGCCGTTGCATACGGTGGACGGTGGCGGACTGCGTGCCTAGGCTTGGCCCCGCAGCGCCGCCCGAAAGCCGCGCACGACAGGCCACTCTTGCACGTTCAGCCGACTAGTGCTGTTCGCCGCTTCCGGCCGCTGGGGCTGGGGGGCCCCATCCGACCCCCAGGGCCGCCACTCGAAGGCTTAGCAAGAAAATCGTGGGGCGTGGTCGAGAGACATCTCGGGGGTCTCTTACTCTACAGTCGTCGGCCTGACCTAAGGAACGATACAGAAGGAACGAAGCCCCCTTTTCCAAGGAGTAAGGCGTAAAGAACGATAAGCAATAGATGACGCATGCGGAACGATAAGCAGCGCACGCAAACCTCAAGGAACGGCCGCGCCCCTTTGAGAAGCACGTGTTCCTCACTCGAGCCGCCCACTGCACGCCCCCTGCAGTCCGGTCGCAAGAGCACGTGCCCGTGTGGCCGCTCTTGCTGGCAGCGGAGGGGGGGGGGGCCGGCTGCCCTCGGAGGACCGCGCCCTCTGTCGCGTGCCCTGCCCCACATCGACACCATGTTGACTACCTACCAGACCACCCCAACCCAACCCGAAGACCCGAATTTGACCCGAATTTCGGGTTGGGGGGGGTACGGATACCATGTGTTTTCTCAACGTTCCCCGACCCCCCCCCCCCACTGGAAATCGAGGATAAATTTGGGCCTTCGGGTTGGGTTGGGGTGGTTTGGTGGGTGGTGACATGTAGCTGCAGCTCGCGGAGGAGCAGGAGGAGAGGCCCCGGGGGAGGCCGGGCTGCTCGGAAGCCGGGCGAAGGCTGGCAGATCCGTGGCTGCGAAAACGGCCCTCCCGGAGGAGCAAGACAGATGCCCGGAACAAAGCTCAGCGCACTGTACACAGGAAGCCGGCCGCTTCCCCAGGAGAACACAGCAATTTCCCGGAGCTCCGCTTTCGCAGCCACGGGCTTGCCAGCCTTCGCCTGGCTTCGGAATTACCTGGAATCCTGGAATCCTGCCCCTGGAATACACGAATCCTGGAATTCTGGAATTCAAGCCGCTCACTACCTGAAGTCCTGCCCCTCCCACCCATCCCTCTGCCTTCCGCGGGCTCATTGACATCGCCGTGCGGTGCGCACTCAGAGAGGGAAGCTGCTTACCCTGGAGGAGGAGTAGGAGGAGGAGGAGGAGGGAGAGGAGGGGGAGGGAGAGGAGAAAGGGGAGGAGGAGGAGGAGGAGGAGAAAGGGGAGGAGGAGGAGGAGGAGGAGGAGGAGGAGGAGGAGGAGGAGGAGGAGGAGGAGAAGGAAGCGACAAGTGCGAGGGAGGACTCGGATCCAAAAATGTGGCCCGCGCTGGGGCGAGAGCGTCAGTCTGAACGACGGGAGTACAGTTTCAATCCTGAAATGAGGTAAACGCTGCAGCGGGAGCATCATCGTGACAACGCGAACACGCTAAAACGGGAAAGAAACATACGAACCCAAAACCATGTTCGAAATCCTATGCGGAAGTCTCCGCGCTAGCTCCTCCAGGGAGTCTCTGGTCTCACCCTCTTCGTCCTCATTTAGCACTCGAAGTGGTCCACGAGGACCCCCAAGCGGCCGACGAGAGCCCCAAGACATCACCTACTACGAGCCGCAAGATGGCTCCAAGACGGCCCGCAAACAGCCCAAGAGGGACCCAGGGAGCCCAGGAGGCCCCTGAGAGCCCCCCGAGAGGCACAGATTCTTGAATGTTCCGTGGCGTTTGTATCATCTTGGCGTAATTCTTCGCACGCTCGGTCTGCAGAGCGATCAGGAGGTGCCCGAGAGGGCTCCAAGACGCCCCCAAAGGAGCCAAGGGACCCCCAATGGTGCTCCAGAAGTGCCTAAAGACGGCCCGACGAGGGCTTCAGGAGGGCCTGCGTGGGCCACAAGACACCCAGGAGAGCCCTAAGATGCCACGAGAGGTTTCCTACGAGGCTCTAGACGGCCAACACAGCTCAAGAGGAGTCCACCACATAGAGTGCACTTCGAGACTGCCAGAAACCACTGTTCTGGGCCTGCGCTGGCAAACATGTTCTAGCATTCTCGCGTGTTCGACCTCCCGAGAATCCAAGAGAGGCCCAGACCGTTCCAAGACTGCCCCCGAGGCTTCTATTAAGTCGGGCGTGTCCCCCTACAGGGGGGATTCTTTGGGCGATAAATAAAAAATGCTCCAAACAAAACCCCCTGAACGAGCAGAACTGATCCAACAAATCGTCCCCAGACTGTTCTCTTATACAATTATTCATGGAGATTCCCCCTGCCTCCTCCTCCTCCTCCTCCCCTCCTCCTCCTCCTCCTCCTCCTCCTCCTCCTCCTCCTCCTCCTCCTCTCCTCCTCCTCCTCCTCCTCCTCCTCCTCCTCCTCTCCTCCTCCTCCTCCTCCTCCTCCTCCTCCTCCTCCTCCTCCAGCCTCCTCCTCCTCCTCCTCCTCCTCCTCCTCCTCCTCCTCCTCCTCCTCCTCCTCCTCCTCCTCCTCCTCCTTCCTCCTCCTCCTCCGCCTCCTCCCTCCTCCTCTCCTCCTCCTCCTCCTCCTATCCTCCTCCTCCCCTCCTCCTCCCCTCCTCCTCCTCCTCCGCCTCCTCCTCCTCCTCCTCCTCCTCCTCCTCCTCCTCCTCCTCCTCCTCCTCCTCCTCCTCCTCCTCCTCTCCTCCTCCTCTCCTCCGCCTCCTCCTCCTCCTCCTCCTCCCTCCTCCTCCTCCTCCTCCTCCTCCTCCTCCTCCTCCTCTCCCTCCTCCTCGCCTCCTCCTCCCCTCCTCCTCCTCTCCTCCTCCTCCTCCTCCTCCTCCTCCTCCCTCCTCCTCTCCTCTCCTCCTCCTCCTCCTCCTCCCTCTTCGCTCCTCCTCCTCCTCTCCTCCTCCCTCCTCCTCCTCCTCCTCCTCCTCCTCCTCCTCCTCCTCCTCCTCCTCCTCCTCCTCCTCGAGGGACATGCCCGACTTGGGCTTCCAACAGGGCCCCCAAAAGGCCTCCAAGATAGTCACAGGGCGGGCGCCCGAGGAGCGCGCCGCTGCCGGCCCGCCGACGCAGCCCTCCACGATCGGCCGAGGCCCTCCGCGGGCTCCCACGGGCCCCCCCCCCGCCCGCCCCCGAACCTCGCAAAGGTGAAGGGGCCCCAGGACACACAAATAAATACACACAAATAAAAAGATTCCCCATATTTTCCTATATTTTCTGGGTTTTTGTCTTCCCGCCCAATTCCCATATTTTCCAATATTTTCTTGGGAATCGACGATTAATTGTGTCTGTGTGTTTTTTCCCCTCCTGAAGAGGGGCACACAAAAGGCCCCTCAAAGGCCCCGCAGGCGGCCCGTGTGCACAACAGAGGCACGGGGGCGGGGTGGACCAGAGACCGCTGCCCCAGCCGACCAGCCATAACTGGGGGAGCTGTGGTCCTTACCCCCCTGGGGGAACCCATCGCATCGACGATCTCTCGAGAGGGGTGTCGAAATCGATGGGCCACCCAGGGGGGTAAGGACCACAGCTCCCCCAGTTGTGGCTGGCCTGCCCAGTTCGACAAGACAGAGACCGCGACCCGGCCTTCCATAGTCTGCGTTTCGCCTTCTCCAATGTTTTTGACAAGCCGGTTGGGGGCATGTGTAAAGTCAGTTCCCGTCGGCTCCTTGCGTACTCCGCGCAGTCTAAGAAGTATCTGTCGAAGAGTTCAACGCCCTTGTCGTCGCGGTTGGAGCTGGAGCAGTTGCCTGGGAAGGTGAACTCGGAGGCGTCGAAATCGGTGCACTGCGTGAACCGACCCCACTGCTCCCTCCCCATGTCGAAACGGAACCTGATCTCGTTATCTGCCGCCCGGAACGTCGAGCACTGCGTGGGGCACCCGAACTCTGGGGTCCCGAAGAAGCCGACCCGGCCAGAGCCGGTGGTCAGGAAGGTGGCGTCGCACTCGCAGGTCTTGGGGCAGAGCGCCCTCGGCCAGGGCCCGGACACTGCCTTGCCATCGCTCGGGCGTCCGTGCGCCGTGCAGCTGTCGGTTTTGTGAGTTCTTGTCGCAAGATGGTCCAGGATGCACCCGGATGGTCCTCGCCAAAAAGAAATGCCCACGTCCGAGCGGTGCCAAGCTGCCGAGACCACCGCCCGTCCTTCCCTCACAGGCTTTGCGGGAAGCCGGGGAGGGGGGAAGGGGGGGGGGGGGGGGGGGGCGAATGTCAGTCGACTCGGAACTCCAAATCAAGACCCCATTGTGCTATGCGCATTTGGAAAAGAAGGGGAGCTCCGTACATCGGAGGAGAGTGGCGGGTGAGCAGGAGGATGAGCAGGAGGAGAAGGAGGAGAAAAAAAGAGGAGGACGAGGACGAACAGCAGCAGGGACTGGAGTGGAAGGAGCGAGAGGAGCAGGAGGACCGGGGGAAGGCGGAGAAGGGGACTTGAGGGGGGCGGCAACGATGACAAAGGACTCGGGTCCAGAAAAGTGGACCAGGCTGGGGCGAGAGCGCCATTCTGAACGACGAGAGCAAAGCGCCGATCTGAAAATGATGCCCACGCTGCAGCGAGGGCACAATTTGGGCACAAATATCGGATTGTAAAAAAACATCAGACAAATCAACGTCTGAGATCCTGTGAAGAAAAGCCGTGCGCGTAGAGTACTGGCGTTTTTCCAGACGGAATCAGAAGAGAGGAAAATCCCACCAGCCCTTTAGGGCGTGAAGCGTGAGTGGTTTAGAGGATTTCTTCCGAAAACCCGATTCTTCCCCTTCGGGGGATATCACTGTTCCCGATGAGCAACTTGCCATCGCCTGGACCTCCATTGCACATGCATGTTCGGCGTCGCGCGAGTGCTTGATCGCAAGATGATCCAAGATGTTCCTCGATGGCCCTCGCCGAAAAACGCACACGTCCGAGAGGTGCCAAGACGAGAACCCCTTAAAACAGGCGCCTGGCAGCCAACCAGGAACACAATGACAACTCCCCCCACCACCATCCCTGTTTGAAAAGCATTGCAAATACAATATGAGGCAAAAGTATGGGCAATGCGAATGGGCTCGGCGAGCACTTTGCCTTATGTTGTTGACAGGGGCGGCGGGCGCATCATTCATGTGCGTGCTGTGCGCAACGCCGCGTCCGCGCCAAAAAAACTACAGAGTACACTTCGCGGCCAAATCTGGACCACGCGCGGCCACCCCGCGACCAGGGCCCATGGGCTATTGACGACGACGGCGGGGGTGCTCGCACATTGACCGCTGTGTGCTGGCCCACCGGACCCAACGATGACCTCCCCGCCGCGAGTGCGCATTGGCTTTCGACGGGGATAGTGGGTCCGACAGGTTTCCTGATTTGTGCTGTCACGTGCACGGGCGCACCTAGCACACCCTGCACGTGTCCCGAGCGTGGCGCATCTGGCGCGACTGGACCATGCGGCACGCATGGCGCACGTGGAGCACGTGGCGCATCTGGCGCGCAAGGCGTGCCTGGCATGCTCGGGACCCAGTGGTGCCTGGCGCACCTGGCGCGCAAGGCGCGCCTGGCACGCGTGGCGCACCTCGCTTTAGCGTCGCGCACATGGGGTCTGGCTTGGTCTCCAGTAGCTGCCCATCGATATACGGCCGCTGAATCTGCTGAGGCTCGGGTGCTACTTATGGGTTGGGAGCGCGGGTGAGAGTGATCGAGGCAGCTTGCGGGCGGGGAGGGTGTCTTGACACTTCCCCCGTACCTCCTCCCCCTGGACCTGGACGGGGGTTCCGCGACCCATTGGAGCGTCCGAGATAGCCTCGGCGAAACGGCACAACTCCCTGATGCTACTTCGGTGTTGGGCCCATGTTGGCCTCCCGGGGGGGGGGTACAATTTAATACCCCCCCCTTCTGTGATCGATCTCCTCCTAGATGGCCCCGCAAGGACTCAATTGAGCTTTCCACGGGCATCCGAAGAGACTCCGAGAGGCATCCAAGAGCCCCCTGGCCATTATACTCGCCCTCCTTCTTCTCTTCCTCCTCCTCGTCACCTCCTCCTCCTCTTCCTCATCCGATCATTCCTCCTCTTCCATCCTCGTCCCTCCAACGTCCCACCACCCTCCCCCTCCTCTTCCTCGTCCGAGTCCTCCTCCATCATTCGCCTCTTGGGGAGTAAAGTTTTCCCCACTGCATGTTCCTCCGCATCCCTGACCTGGACAACTTGCCTGGACATTGTGTCTGGACGGGCTGGTGGGGTTGCGCGAAGCGTCCGAAATAGTATCCATAATGTGTGACTGTAGATGGTGGCACGTAGCAGGTGGAACGAAGGAAGGGGAAGTGGGAGGAGGAAGCGGGAGGGAGGCGAGGAGGGAAGGGGGGGGGGGCAGGGGGGGGATGCAGGGGGAGGGGGGCGGAAAAGGGGATAGGCAGCGGTTTGGTCCATCTTTGAGATCTGGACCTCAGCTGGTACATGCTCTGGTCCTGGGGGGAACGTGAACGATGCACCAAACGTGGTCGGGCCCACCATTTGCCCAGGATTGCTGCAGCCCCGCGTGAAGACGAGGAGATGCAGCGGAACGAAAGAGGACGGGCGAAGACCAGGAGCAGCAGCAGCAGCAGCAGCAGCAGCAAGGAGGAAGGAGGAGGAGGAGGAGGAGGATGGCGGAAGTGGCAGAGGGCGCCACCCGCTGCAGGCAAATCACACAGGCGGTTTGCAGCGGTGGCGGAAGTGGCAGCAGGGGCCACAGGCCAGGGTAGGTGATCTGGAGTGAACCTGGTCGCCTCGGGCTGCGTCGTCGAGGAGGAGAAGGAGGTGGTAGACGTGGAAGGACGAGGCGCGGAGGCAAGCGAGGAAAGGAAGGGGGAAGGGGGAGGATGAGGAGGATCGCCAACAGCTGTGGGAGGTGCAGGAACGCAGGCAAGAGCGGGAACCCGAACTAGGGCTGGGGCAGGGTGCAGCAGGATGAGGACGAGGAAGGCGAAGGCGTCTTCGACTGCGCCTCCGACGATGACGGCGGCGACAACGGCGGCCGTTCCGAGGACGAGGACCTGAAACTCAGGGACGAAAACGAAGATGACCACGGCAAGCTCGACGACGAGAACACGGAAACGCAAGGGGAAGGAGATAGGGAAAGAATCGACGAGCGAGCCATGGCGGCGCCAGGGGCGCCGCCAGGGGACCCCAGCGCCAGTGCGAGGAACCTGCGCGGGCCACCGACTTGTCTGCCACGTGTTAGTGGCACTGCTCGCCCTCCCACAGGAAGGCGGGGACGGACCACAGAACCGATTCACCCGGAAACGATGTGTTCGTCGAACCTACTGAACATGCTCAGAAAGCCCCGTAGATCGACGAGCATTCCACGTAGTGTTCTCGTAGATTCGACGGAACACCCGTTCCAGTGTAAATCAATTGTGTGGTCGGCTTCTTTTTCGAGTTGTGAGGAGGCTGCCGCCGCCGGGCCTGCGTGGACTCGACACCAGCAGCAACTCTGGGGCAAATCATATACGACGTCGATCCCCGACTCGAAAAGAGGCAGCGGACAGGGTGGCCAGCGCTGCAGCGCGAGGGCGCGAGCTCGTCCGCGCAGCACCACCTGCACCCATGGGGGCGAGGGCGCGGCCGCCGCGCTCTCGCCACGGGGCGGGCCCCCCCCCCACCCCCCCGGACACTCCAGGGACAAGGGGAAACCAGGCCGAGCTCGACCGAGCTCGGCGGGAGCCGCATCCATTCGGCCAGGCCGAGCCAAGCCTACAGCCGAAGCCAAAACGACGATAAGATCGAGTGAGGGTACTGCATCGAGAACCTCTTTGATCCGGCGGCTCTGGCGGGTGCCTCGGGCGCCGCGGCCTTCTCGGAGAGTTCCAGAACTGTCGAAAAGAGTTTCGAAACTCTCTCGAACGGATTTGTCCTCGCCCTGGCCCCGCCCCGTCCGACCGCTGCGCAGGAGGCGGCCCGCAGGCAGCCAGCAAGCCTGTCTCCGCCGATCCCTATCCCAGTGGCGCGGCCTGGGCCCCGCCGGCGGGGATGCAGGGGCCTCGGAAGGCCACGTCGGCGCTTCGCCGGCGGGGCGCGGCCGGCGAGAACGGACCAAGAGGCCAGAGGGGGAAGTGACAGGATGGGCCTCGCCCGACCCCAGATCATGAGGAGGCTGCCGCCGCCGGGGCGCGCACCCGGCGCGGCGGTGCTGGCTGGCTGGCCCCTTCCGCGCCGCGCCCCCGACCGCGGCGAGGGGGCCCCGCCCCGCGCCGGCGGGGCGGAGCCCGCTCTGCCCGCACTCCAGCGGTGATGCCGTTCGGCCGAATGCACCCCCGGCCGTCGTGAGACAGGTGAGTTTTACCCTGCGGGTGAACTTGATACTGCGACAGTAATCGAACTCGGTGCGAGAGGATCACTTGGTTCAGATGCTTGGTGAATGCGGTTAGCTGAAAAGCTTGCCCGCAGGAGCCCGCGGGCGCGCAGAACGCGCGCCGAAGGAGGAGCGTTGCCCCTCCGTCGCTGCAGGGCGCGCCGCGGGCCATTCCCAGGCGGTCCCAAAGCCGCACCCATCGCCGAAAGAGGCCCGACAAACCGACGCGCCCAGGAGCCTGCGGACTGGCTATATTTTACTCTCGATGCTGAAATGATACATATGACGGCTGATGGGTCGCAGCTGCGGTCACAAGTATCACTGCTTCGACCGCTTCCTCCAGCGAGATAGCCTCCGCAGTAAAGGAAGAAATGGGATCATAAATAAACGTCCTCTACAGGGGGGGATATTC